TTTACAACACCAATAAACTTCAAACGTTTGTGTATAGACTGTACAAAATAAATATATTTAATCAAACACAAACATGACGCATATGAGATACAAATTTTATTATTTTAATTGTATAGCATAAACAGTAAAACTCCTACATTTTGTAACTGTTTCCATCATCTCGTTCATTTATCTAACTTAAGTTAAGTAATTACTCTCGTAATTTGTTTCCAAATACCTCTGTTCGTCACTGAGAATGTTATCGTGTCATAAGGATTATGTTATAAGTTTATATTTATCGAATTTTAAAATCCGAGTAAGACTATTTACAAAATTTAGCGCACCTGTTGAGGTTCATTTTACTTTGTTTAGATATTTGGATACTATCCATTACATGTTTTAACAGGCGCAGACACTGGAAATCATGTTGAGTACACGTCTGACGGTAATGACGTCTTGTGTCTGCATTGAAATTGAGGTCCATGTTAGCCCAATCACAACAGACAGTCTTCGATCGCCGTAGCGAAAGGACACCTGCCTACTTGCTTGTTTGTTTGTCCATCGCGTATCTGCCTCCGGTACTAGTGAGCTTACTCTATTGGGAGCTTCGTTCGTCACAAGACCTGCAGGTATTTACGATTTAATATTTATTCAGTCAAATTGGAAGGAAAGACAACATTAATAATGCGAAAGTTAACATTTATGAATGGTGGAGTGGAATTATGATGACGGTACAGAATTTTACGCAACTTGTTTCAAAATGTGGGCTCTTTAACATTCTTAGATTTCTGAAAATGAAAGATATCCTATTACATCGAAGTGTTGGCCAGTTTTCGTCTCGGACAATGTGAAAATTGTCCAAAAAAATCCCATTTGTAAGATAGTTTGATGCTCTGGAAATATCTTACAACTCTGATTCAGACATCTTTGTGATTTTATCTAGACGTCGTATTTGTGAAGAAATGTTTCTTGACGGATGTTAATGGTAAGTTAACGGATTTTAAACCGAAAACTGTAACAGTTTTCTCTGATATGCTTTTAATAAGTGATCTTTCATATCAGAGATTATAAAAGATGCCATAATCTCCCAGAACTTCTGATATATGTAATGAAATTTTGCAAATGAACTGACATTTTTCGATGTGTATTTAATGGAAATAGAACCGTAGAGTGGTTATGAATTCTTTTATCGGGAATTGATATTGTTCCAGAAATTGGCAAAAGAAATCCTATTATACGAACATTTTCGACTGGATAAAGACATTGCTACACGGACACCATCGCGTAATAAATTAAACGAAACTTAATTACTACATGCAACCCGACATTTATAAACACGCATCGTCGATCAGGATTTTAATAAAATTGTATCTTTTGATCGCAAGGTACGTAATTACCACAGACATTTAAAATGGCTAGAATAAATTTTTCTTGCAGTCACGTCGGACTATTACAGTATTAAACACAATTGTTTCGATGTGCATTTGACGGTACAAACTTCTCTAGCACAGTATTCGGGCCGGATTCGATGTTGCTCGCGGTTTGAAATTTCAAGAAGTCTTTCGCCGCGATTTTCTGAGTGTATGTTATTAAAACGGCTCTCCAAATGTCTGTGATAAAGTGTGTGGTGCGTCATTGCCTTGAATTTTGTCAACGGCTTCAACGTTCATGCAGAAACAGCGGTACCACGGACTCCGCATGCAGATATCACCAGACTTCGAACTCGGGGCCATGACACAAGGAGCTGGCGCTTAAGGTAGGTTAAATTTAAAAAAAAAATCGCTGTCGACCAAACTCTTAGTGATTCAGGACACGTCTGTATGAGGATGGGCTGGGTACTTGCAGCAAAATCAGGTACGCCATAGCAACGACACAGGCTGGTCATCTTAATAAAACAGTATCTGATGTGATAGCGTCCGTGATGCAGGACTGAGGTTAAGGAGGAGGAGGAGTTAGCAACCCTGTGCGTTTTAACTTTTTTGCGTTAGTTTGAAGGTTATATTTGTTCTCCCACGCTCCCCCCATAAGATTTAAGTGAACTTGGCTTCTGTGTCCAGTTCGGCTTTTGCTAGCGTAAACGGAGGATTGTTTAGGAAGATTTAGCATTTGTGTGCTCTTTCTAAACTTAACAGGTTCAGTCGGCACGACCAATGAAATCAACGCGAGAATTAGAGAGAGGAAAAATGAATGTTCATAGTCTCTGTCTGCAAATTACTCGCATTGTCGCCGCTGTGAAAACCTCAAATCTTACGTAAAATAATTTTGTTTTCACAGGTCTTTTATCTCACTGTTAAAAGATTTGCCAGAATCTGCGTTGCTGTCAGGAATGTGTACTGAACTTTATTAAATGAAGTATCGTAATTTTTTTTTGTGAAGTATTACGGATGCAATTTATGAAGAGAGTTACAGAATCAGCATTTAGAGAAGGGATTCGAATGTTGTCATACTTAAGAAAGGAATTTTTTTTTTCGAGTGAATGATAAACAGTAACCGGGCAGTTTAAATTGTTAGTAACCGATAAACGAACGCAGATCAGTAACATTAACATTTACGCTTCGCGTCGCCGAATTGCCCCCTCGGAATCAAGATTTTATACCCGGGCCTACAGAAGTTTCACACTTTTTTATTTGAATAAATCAATTTTAATTGGACTGCTGTTTACCGTCAAGGGAGTGTTGACGCCAGACTTCTTATGAAGGTCGTGAAACTGATGGAGACGTCGTTGAAGGGACTGAGTTTTCGACGTTTTATTTTCGAATTCAATTAAGCGTCGTTAAAACAATATAAATTTGAACTGTTTCTACACAAGAACGTCGATGTTTAAGGCAAAATGAACATCATTGACTGGACAATGTTGTGTTTTAGGACATTTTCGCTTACGATGTCTGCCTCGACATATGCAGTGTGCTGTGCATCGAGCGGCCGTAAGGGAAGGTTAATCTACAAAAGTTTACTTTACGTCGGTGCCATATAAGCAATTTTTGCTATATCACCGAATTTTATGAAATGTGCATGGCATGTTGGTATATTTTGTAGCCAAATCCCTGTATTTCATTCAAGGATTTTTTTCTCTTATTTAGGCTTTAAAACGATTTAAAAATGTACGAAAATTACTTACGGTAACACCTGCATATATATTATGCTTCGAGTTCCATCCGTATTCCTCGAAAAGTAAATGAATTTACAATTATGAGCGTGGGTAATCTGACCCTTGAAATGAAGATTTCTAGGCACCAATATAAAAAAATAGTTTAAAATAAAATGTACGCTGTGTAATGGGGAATGTATTAAGCGGTAAAATATTAATTATGAAATCGTTATTGTGAGTTATGAAGGTTGCCTTCTGTTTAAAATGAAACTCTTTTCATTCTTAAGCCAGATTTGAGTCAACTCGTTGATTTTTAATGAACGGTTACTGAGCTGTCACCCCTCAAAGTATGAGAGACAAATGCGTATTTACACTGAACGTACAAACATTACAGTAATAAATTTTTATAATAGTAATCGCTGACATCAGAGCATTTTCAGACGCGTTGGATAGAATTCGCAGACGGCAAAGTCTGAAGCAACAGAGGGGCATTCCTTCCGCTGTGGTCGCTGGCTCTCGATAAACTTCACAAATAACGGGGTTAGGTTCGGAGAACCTGGTGGCCACCGTCATGTCAGATCCACTTAGTGAAGACGAGTCTGCAACGGCACATATTCCAGGAGGACATGGCAGAGACTCTGACGAATAACTTTCGTACCTGCGTCCTGTTAACGATCCTTCAGTCAAATACGGCCAAATGGTACGATGGCCATGGCTTCCCGAAGCCAAAGAGGATTTTCAGCAGGCCAGCAATGCTTTCTCCTCAAATTGACTTGATATATTTTGCAAAGAAAGCTTCGTCAGTAGATAAAACGTTTATAAACAAACAAAGCATTGTTAGTATGTTAAAATAAAAGAGTTATTTGAGGTCGCAGAGTTAGGTGGGATATCATGTATATAAGCCCCGTTATGTATATCAAATCTAAATATAATTAAAATAAAAGAGTTATTTGAGGTCGCAGAGTTAGGTGGGATATCATGTATACGTATAAGCCCCCTTTAGTAGCAGCTTTAAGAAAACATTTGTCTTGGCACCGGTCTTGATAAAGGGACTAGAAAGTTGTATTAAAACAAATGGTAGGAACACTGCCTGCAAATAACTTTTTCACTGGTGGAACGGACATGGAATTAAGCCTAGCCAAAAAAAGTGTCTTTAAACGCTGTTAATTTTTTTGAAACATAGGATCTGTGGGGAAGCATTACATTGAAGTTCAAACTTGCACAAAACAGCTTTAAAAGTCTTCGAAATTCTATTTGTAAAGTAAACTGGTACTTCCCAGTATTTTGCTACGCTTTGGAAACGTCCAAATATAGAGTGAAACGTTAATCTGCGATGAGTACCGGAGGGTGTGCCCTGTCACACACCCCAGGATCACCAACGGCGAAGGGGATTTTCTATTTATAAATTCTAAACCAGTTCTAACATTGAACGTCTGTCCAACTAACCAAAAGGTAACTAAGGACGGAGTTCTGCGCAAACGCAAGACATCGTCTCTTGCTAAGGTTAGATCATTCCTGCGTACGAAACTCATTGCTGGAAGCAGTTATTCCTTTATAAAAAGGATCTTTGATTGAATGGGTGACTGGGAGTTAACCCAGAATGGTCGAGATCGTTTTGGGTGAAGCCTCCGCGACTTGGGGGGGGTGAGAAATAGGTTTGGCTGAGGGCCTTCATGATCGGGGAAGGTGGACCATGCCCGTTTAGAATCATACCTTGGCATCTGCTTGAGGAAAAGTTTGTCAAGAGACGATGTTCCAGATGAAGATAGGATCTACCGGCTGTCGAGGAATATCGCGAATGAATCAGAATGCCAACAAGGACTGACGATACAATACGCTGGTCTAGCCTATTGTACAACGTCTGTGGAACTGCACGCGAGAGATATTTTCTAATAAAGGTCAGCCTTTGAAACAGTGTTGAGCGAGTACTCACTGCAGGGCTCGCGGAGGTTTGAAGCTCACGTCCATGCGGTATGTTGTATCGGTGTGTAGCTTCACCGTCTTCTGCTGTTTGAAGCGTTGGGCGGTCTCCATCTTGCAGAACACCGGCCTGCCCTCGGGCTCTTTCCTCATCGACAGCGTCACGCGGAACGTCCCCTGATTATGCATGGGGAAGAGACCCTTGCAGACATTCTGCAGCCCTGCACACACACATACATAAACGCGTAACATGACATTTCCTGTGCAACTATGATCCGTGGTCCTTCCATGGGCACTGAATCTGACGGCTTAACGCACAACGCTTTGCAGTTCTTGGAACGCCTCACAGACATTATTGGAGATGTGATATTCATCGTGCGGTCCGCGGTTAACTGGCGGTGTCAAATTGACACTCGCTCGCCGCTACCTGTAATCATCATTTATCCCGTGTAGGCCTATGGGAATGTCACCCAAAGAATACGTCTTTAAAAATGTGATCGGTAAGTTTCAAAATCACGGGGTATACGTTCTGTCTAACATTACCTTCCCCTCATTCTTCCTTGTAATAAATGACACGCTAAATGTTGGGTTTATACGTTACAAATGGCAAAGTAAATGCTCCATCAATTTCAAGAAGTTTGTTTTCCGATTCTGGGGGAGGGGAGTGTCGACGAAGTGATGTGCGACATTGAGAAAGCACAGACGATTAAATGTTTCCATCACACTGACCGTGAGATAGATAACTTCGTTCCGAAAAAGTAAAAACTCTCAAATGTCTCCCACATTTATGCTGGCTGAGTTAATAACGTGTAATTTAACGAAACCCTTAATTTTGGTAAATCGTAGCGGGGAAATTCAAACTCACAAGCGAAGTGTGCACATTTGTGTAGACTTTACCAAGTATATATTTAACACAAGTAATTTGTAATTACGACAACATTTTTTATTTGCTTTGTAATCATTTATATTATGAATACTTAATTTAGATGTACAGGTTTCATAGGAATTGGTGTATTGCATTCTGCACTTAGCTATTAGTCCGCTAAGTGCAGAATACAATACACCAACTCCTATCAAACCAACATCCAGTGAAGTGTTACTTAATTTGGTTTTGTAAAGAACTCGTCTTTATGATCTGTTTAAAATCATATTCTTTTAATAATATTATATGAATTAATTCTCCCTCTTTGCCACTGATGATGACCTCTTGAGGGCGAAACGCGTTTGGCATTAGTGTCATTTATAGTGTAAACAGTTTTGTTTGTATGATTATTTTTATAAATTATTTTCATGATATCCTCTCAGGAATTCGCACGCGAGAGAATCTAGTAAGCGTGTTTAAACGAGTAACGATGTTTTGTGAGTCATTTTCCTTTCCTTGCGTTCACACAGACACTGTTCACTTTACTCTATACTCTTTTCTGTTTCGTGTTCCTCACGTACGGCCATTTTGTGTTGACCCACGCTGGCAGAGGTTTACGTGGACTGACAGCAAATGAACTATTCCTACTAACCTACTGTTACAGCTGACAGTAATTATTTGTAAAGCCATTTGTCAGTTGTCTTATAACGTACAAATATTTAAGCGACTACATTTCGGAAACAAAAATTGTTTTGTGAGCCATGTTTATATTCTCGTCTTTCGCCAAGGAACACATACGATATTGTAAAAGACCTTGTACAAAAGAGTTCAGTAAATATAGAAAAGTCTGAGAGACGCTGTTGTAGGCCTCTACAGACGAACATGATGACGTTTCTGTAATGCGTCGTGATGAAATTCAGGAGGTAGCCGATCACTCGAAACACAAAACAGGCCTAAAGAAACATGTTTTGGTAATCTAAGTTTGGATTAGATACAGGCACAGGATCGAATCAAATTTTAAGGTATTTAGGATAACTTCTCGGGACATTATTCATTGCTTTCTGTTTTGATTTCTAAAGGCAAATGTAATGGCTGACGCCCTAACGATGATAATACGTAATTTTCATAATTTGTGAGAGTCGCCAGAACGTTGCGTTTTCTGGTATAATTCCCTGATGATTCAGACAGAAAGTTCTCTGAAACGTCGGACTTTTGCAGAACTGCATCTGCCGTGTTACAAAGAGGCACTTACACTGATGAACTGAGGAGGGCGTGGTAAAGAGGCCGTGACCTATTTTAAGTACTAAATCGACGTTGTCTTAAAGTTACTGATAAAACTTTAGACAAGAGAGCCAATGTCACTTCAAACATTGAAACCTCGGACGTCTCAAAATGTTCAGCGGAACGAGCATTAATCTCTGCATTCCGAATCTGTGCTTGTTGTATTCGTTTTTGAAATCGTCGGCCGAAATTTGTGGCACTAAAATGTTTTTCTCAGCTGGACAGTCCAGTGTATTACCGACTATGGCGTAAGTAATAAGCCTGTTTGTGAATGGCGACCAATGATGTCGGCAATAACAAACAGATGACAGTCGTGTAACCAAGAGAACGTCAATGCGTTTGTAAAAGATTAATGAAAACCAGCAAAAGATCTTCAATGAAAAAGATGTTTCTGCGGGTATTGAAGTAAAAACGTAAAAGAGTCGCTGAAGTAGAGGCGGAATACGAGAATGCTCGAAGAAGAGTCGAAAGCAACGCCTCGTGACAGGATTTGAAAAAATTATATTCACATTTATCCGTAGGAACAATCATAGAAGGAACTGAGTAAAAGTGTGTGGAGAGAGGAGAATAGTTGAAATGAGAGACAAATATTGGACAGTTTAAATACGGAAATGTAGATTGTACAAGCAATTAAATGTATAAAGTTACTAATGGACTGCGTCATTACACACAGTAAAACCAATAATTCAAATTACACTACTCTATGAAAATGAGACACGTGTTTATAGATTTTAGAAGCATTTTAAGGTAAATAGGCTAATTTCCCTGTAAAAATGCTGGCATACGTTGGTCTTTACACGGTGGTTTATAGTATTTAAGGTTAAAATTGTATCGAAACATTAAAGCATGTATGGGGAAGAAGTTCACATTCTTTGAGTTCTTACAATAGGTATTTGACGCAAACGAGTGGTCGGTTTCATGCTCTGGCCCCCTTGAACCCGGAGAGAGACTCCAGTACCCTTCGCATAGGGAGCTAGTTGGGAGGAGAGTCTGTCTGAACGTTGTAGCCCTTTGTCAAGCTCATAGACAGTGACATTTTTGCCTTATTTATCCAGGTTTATGATACGACAGCACTTAAAATTGAAAACTAAAGGCAAAATTTGTGGAAGTTACGCTCCAGTGTTCTGGACAACTCGGCGAAGAGAAAAGTCCAAACGTTTATACTGAGAGTCGAAGGCATTAGTGTCATTACGTTAGTAAGCCACGGTGGTCTAGCGGTTAGAACGCTGGCCTTGTAATCCTGGGGTCTCGGGTTCGATTCCCGTCGGTGCCCGAATTTATAACTTGTGTTGGGCAAGGCCGTGGTCTAGGCAACACGGAGTTTTCCTCCGTGGCATCCCAACAATTACTCCATTCACACACAGAAGAAGGCAATGGCAAACCACTTCTGGATCATCTGCCAAGAACGTATATGAACAGGTCCCAGTCCGAGAAAAGGATGGAAGGTACCTGTTCATATGGACCTGTCGTCAGACAGAACACTATATAAAAAATAAATAGTCTACACGCTCAATTTGATTTAGTAAATTAATATCTCATGCAATTTGTATTTTGAAATGCGCCCGGTTCGAATATTGTTGCTGGCAACTATAAACACGCGAATAATCTTCTGTAACCCCAGGCGTTATGCAACTTGCAATCCTAACTTCAAACACTCGCATCAGCTTCGTTACTAATATTTAAACAGACAAACGTCACCTTAATTCGCGTATTCCACTATCTGGATTTGTTTCATTCTGTAACCATGACACCATGATTTATGAACCAGCGTGTTTTGGCAGTTGACATGTGGCAAAACAAGAGATTACACAGATTTCTACGAAAATGTAATGAATCACTTTCAGATGTTAATAAAAGTGCAGATGTTGACAGCCTTAAAGAGATTTTATGGAAAGTTCTGCCCGCTTCTACGTATTGGGACTGTGAGATTTCGTGTGTATTTACAGTAAGGAAGCAGTCGTAGGCTTACATTAGGACGGTGGAAAGTCGACTTTGGCAGGCAGGCAGGTAAACGCTGTGAAGTTAAGAAAGGATTGGATGAATAGCCACGACTCTGAAATATTTCACCTTGTCACGAAAGAAAATTAAAAATTCCGCTAAATTAAAAGGGAGTAGCCCTGTTACTAGAAAAGTGCGTAGGTGGTGCAGTGACCTTACATCCCTTGGACGTCTGATAAAAAATTAAATTCTAAATTCTTCTCTCGAAAGTCGGGGGAACACGTTCTACCCCCATAACTGGTTAGTCTATTACGAGGTGCGATCGGAAAGTTCAGGCAGAATCGCAGATGGTGCTTGACGGGCTGACAAAGAAAGATTTCCAGGGATGCTTCCAGGCTTGGCAGCGGCGCTGGGATCGTTGTGTTCACTCCCAGGGGAACTACTTCGAGGGGGATGGATGAATTTAATACCTGAGATAAGTGTACGGGTTTTTATACGCGAAGTCTTGAAACCTTCCGATCGCACCTCGTATATCGAAATTTTAAGAAAGATTAAAGGAAAGTAAGAAAAAAGCATTTTAGTGGAGAATTCGGAATGCATGGGAAGATCAGAACACGATCTGTTACGTCATCGAAGGCAAAGAACTTTGTAGAAGTCGGTGATGTTACAGTGACACGGGCAAAGTCACGTTTGAAGAGGGACGATCTTGTTGCCATGACGACAACAGATTCGATGAACTTATATTTGTGTACAAATATCATTTTTATTATTATTATTATTATTATTAAGTTATTACTGTTTTCTAGAACTGTCACTAAATTTACTTTTAAACTGCATAATGAGACGTATAATTAGTAATCTTACAATTTTTAAGGTGATAAAATAAAATGTGAGTGGAGAATGTGGTAACGAATGGAACGAGGAGAAATATATAAAAAAATGTTAATGGGGAAACCAGAAGGCAAAACTAGGCGATCATATAATGTTAACATTAAAATATATCTTAAATAAGTAGGGGATGTAAAAATGAAAACATTGACGTTCGCAGATCGAGATTATCTGTTCGAATGGTATCCTTCTCCTGTCTCCGTCTGATTATCTCGAGTTATATATTTCCTTCAGGTATTCGTTCTGCGGGCTATTCTAAACAACTCTGCACAGGCGTTTGCTGTTGAACTAGCAATCGTTGCAGGAAACAATCCTATTGTTCAGTACAGCTTTTGTCGTGCCAGGTATTACTAATAAGCGCACCATGATTCAGTTTTCGAGTTATGTAAAACAGTCACGAGGGAAAAAATAAATATATAAAGAAGAATAAACTCATGATGGATTGTCTCACAGAAAATCTGATCTTGGAAATAATGAACGATCACGGACTCCGTGAAATGACACGATAGGTCGCAGAAACAATCGATAAACGTTTGAACACGTCGAAATGTTAACTATCGATAAGTATCAATTTTGCCCTCGTTTGTAACGTATGGAAAAAACGTTGAGTACCCTGCTATAAAAAAAAGACATCAATGAATTAATTAGGTAATAGCACGTAATAGTTTTGTTCAATTTAGAATTCTCCTGCTTTAACGCCATCTTACCCGTGAAAAGCTTTCCATAAAAGGGACTGTGGTGACCCGGATAAGGTGGCGTAGTCATTATGGAAGTGTGGGTGTCAGATTTTGGGGCAAAAACTGGAATTCGTCAGTCACAGTTCATACGAATTTGAGCAAACGCGGAAACCGTTTTTTGTTTGTTACATTTACAAGGCCGGATTTATTTCTGGGAAGATTAAATTGACAGGCCTACTGTACTCGTATGTTGCTTCTTCCTTTCTTGGTACTAATTTGAGAAATGTTGTCACTTCTGATTTGCAGAGCACTAGAATCTTCGAGAACATAAAATTATTATTTAACACGTTTAGTTGTACAATCTTCTGCCCTGAAAGAAACATCGAAGTGAGCTATTTGAAAACAACCACAAATACAAGTAACCATGCATGTATTAACACAGCAGTTGAGGAGACGGAAGTTCCAGAAATTTTTAATCTCGGGACAAGATTGAAAATTGTAACCCCCCCCCCCAAAAAAAAAAAACGGGGCCAAGATGGAGAAGTGAAAAATCCCCACCTCTTTCGGGCATCGAACCCCGTTCGTACCCGCTAGAACCCAATCTGCTTACACCCGGCTCAAGTTATGTTAGGCCTTTTTTTGTGTGATAATTTGTTGTGCATTGTATTACGCTAATTTTCTGATAAGTGATGTTTTCTGAAGAGCTAGGGAAACGTTTAATCTCACGTTACAGATTCTTCCACAAAAACGTGTGAACGCGTATGCCACACATTTTAACCAGTCATAGGCACTGTGTGTGTGTGCGCGGAACCGTCAAACCTCGGTCACACGTTTGTTGAAACGACAGCTAAAATTGGCACATATCCCACTGCCATCACGAAATGAAAACTTGATGAAAAATACGCCAGTTCAGTCGTACTCAAATCCGGCGTTGTAAACTATTTAACAGCTATGAATAACATACATGACGTCCAATAATTGATGCGAGTAGAGTAGCAACTTGAGCTGCCCCACCACAATGACGAAGCTGGTGTCCGTTTACCATCAATAGTCACATGGGCGCCGACATTTAAACTGAACGCTATTACACATGTTTCAGGGAACACGTAACACGCATACAAAATATCACAGACTTGTGTTTCGAGAACTGCACAGTCAACGTTTGAAACAACGCCATTCGAGCGATGTCGCTTACCAGTTCGTGTTCTGGTACGTGCGGCCGCTCCTTCACACCCGTCTGGCCTGGGCAACAAGTACCGACTGCAGTTGCTTGTTTCTCCCACCAGATGGCATTGCCATGTTTTTGTATTGATCAGTTGCTAGGATACCATGGTATGTCACTTCGGTCTCCCACATAACGCATGCAGACTTGTTTCGTGGTGATGGAAATCTCTTCGCAGTTAACCTCTTGGGGCGAAGTATCGCACACTTGTCTGGCTGTTAATCCCCACGGACAGAGCACATTGGAGTGAGTCTGATTTGTTTTTGGCATCTAATGATTTTACTCGGTACTTCATCAACAAACATAGCAGTTGTCGAATTGTCTTTATCTCTGCAGTCCCTTCGAAGTCACCGTGGTTTTCCTCTGGTCTCTTACGACTGCACTTAAACGTCAGCCTGATACAGCCTCGCTACGTCACAGACGAGTAAGAGTGAAATTCCAAACTTGTTCTTCATGCCACATCATGTAGACTGACACCCTAAGAGTGAAATTCCAAACTTGTTCTTCGTGCCACATCATGTAGACTGACACCTCTATATAAGTTTATAAGCGTACAAAGCATGTTTTTCCGAATCGATACAGATGAAGGTCAGATACTGTTCAAAAAATCTCAGACGTGGTTGGTAACAGCAATGGCGGATTGCTTGTGTGACTTCAGTGTGTTTAGATTGTGCCATTAGCGTTACTTTCACATTTCACACAAAGTTTTCTTGGTTTTTCTTAGTCCCTCCACACCATTTCCGGGATAATGCCTTATGCCCAATCGTGCAGTCTTAAAAATAAAAGTTCCGGAGAAGCCAGACACAGTTCCAGGTTGAATGAAATGATCATGAATCATTGTATGAAGTCCTCATCGTTGTTGCTTGATATCTTTATGCTATTAAATGTAGAATTAAAGTATACTCGAGCAAACAAATGATAAGTTAGGGAATCTAGGCATAACCTATGCCTTTGTTTATATTTTATCTGAATTCTTGTCCTCTTAAATAATTCCATAGCCCACTTTTGCGTTGCAGAAACACTGGGTAAAGTAACGTCTTCGTTCTTATGTAAATGAAGTTCTATATTTGACATCACGTATAAACACTGGGTAAAGTAACGTCTTCGTTTTTATGTAAATGAAGTTCTACATTTGACACCAAGGATCAGTTTTTAACCTAGGATAGTTTCCACAATCATAAAAATTCAGTTTTGCTTTTCATTATAAAGAAGGATTAAGAACGCCTGAAAAAATTTGACGAACAAAAATTGATTTATTTTCCAAACACATTTCAATTTGAATAATACATATATAGTTTAACATTTCTTAATTTTTCAATTATCATTATTTTATACAAAAGTTGAACACTTTTATTTCAGTACAATGCAGAACATAATATTCACTTTACTATGCAACAACAACAACAACAATATTAAGAATAATAATAACACTTAATAACCACTCAGTTTTGGAACGAAAAATATATACAATTCCTGTGAAAAATACAGTTTAATGGAGTATTTACTCCAATAAAGTATGTAACAAATGAAGCTCGTTTATTGGAATCACTGTTCCCAGGACCAGAGGCTGGGAATTACGTTGGGTCATTCATTCAGAGTTAACACGTGGCATGCATTCATACCCTCAGCAACACCACGAGATCTGTCACGTATCAAAATTATACCAAATGAGTAAATTGTTGACTCCCACAATCCTCGTCCCTATTGTCTCTGAAGCTTAAGACTTTTAGTTTGAGGTTCATGATATTTTCAGTGCTACAGACAATTCTCAAAAGACACCAGAAACATAACTTACTAATTAACTAACTACATGGAGCACAGTCTTTTATGAGAAGCTAATAGATTGACAATCAGCTAGTTCCAGAATTTCCTACTCTTTATAGAGCCTTTCTATTACGAGCCAAGAACTATTTTCTTAAGATCTATTAATATCATCCCCTTGTCTATGCGTAGGTCTTCCATTCTGCCCCTTTCCATCAGGTATTCTAACCAAACTTTTGTATAAAATTCTCATCTCCTTGTTGAAATACTCTAAATTAGGTTGTGAAGTCTTCATAATAGTACTGGTTAGTTACTAAGCTAAGTTACTTTGTTGTAGCACCTTGATGTTTCGGATTACATTTCCAACAGTTCCAAAAATCTGTCTCCATCTTCAGTAAAAGTGGTCACACAACAAAACCGCAAAAATCGTATAACCTAACCTAACCTAAACTCTCAACATGATTAAACCCAGTGTGCAAAATCAAGTATTTAAATGCTAAAATGCACAAGACCAACAATCAAGAAGATAAAAACCCATCACATGGTACAACATTATTATATTTATGTAACCAAACACATTTTGTCCATACCTGAGACATCTTCAAGGGTTTCCTGCACATAATTTTTACAAACACAGAATATTCCATTAACAATTTCTGTGTTCAGAATTCCTTCACTAATTATAAACTGTTACAGTTATTAAAGACAAAAGTTACAGAAGAGAAAAAGTATAAATTATTTTATGATATTAATATTTTAACACAATGAATATATTTTCAAAAAAAAGTTTAATACAAAGCTTTGTAATAGTAGATAGTAAATATTTTGATGGAGAAACAATTAAAAATATATAACAAAAACATTTTTGTTAAATAAAAGATATATAACTAACTAACTAGATGGCTTACCGAACCCGAAGGTTCATCACCAAATTAACCAAAGCCCTCCACCGGACCCTGTCCTGGGCCAACAAAATCCAGTCTCCTTCAACTCCTATCTCCCATAGATCCTGCCTGAGATTATCCTCCCATCTACGTCTAGGTCTCCCCAGAGGTCTCTTCCCCTCAGGCTTCCCGACCAATACCAGGTACACACCTCTTGTCCCATCCAAAATAAAAGATATATACTATATATATTTAATAAAAATGTATTTGATCATTTATAATGATTACATGAAATGAGTTTATATTAGTTCAGTCAGCATCATAAAAACTTTTTAATACCGCCTTCACATCATCACTTCTGTCTTTAACATCTCAAACCATCAAACCAGTAACAGAACTGTAAAAATTCTTATAATAAAAGAAAATTAATTGAAATTTGATTGCACTGAAATAAACCACAACTCATAGCAATGCTAGCGGAATCAACACAGGATCTGAATATGTTTCAAAGTAAAGTTCAAGCAGAGTTTATATAAAAACAACTGTTTTGTTCATACAAACAATATGAAATCAATAGTACAATCAAATATTCAAATTTGTTTCACTGACAAACTTTCTCTCTGATTTTTTTAAGATAAGCATATTCAAACGAGTAACCTTAAATTAAAAATACAGTATTACTTTCAATAACACAGTTTTTGGGCTCGATTCCTCGTTGTATCAACGTCAGAAATGCGCAACTAATAACAAAATTTTGTTCCTTAATCTCAGAGTACATAGCTTGTTGTGACATTTTATATATCTCACTAATTTGGGCAAAGAACTTAGTCACTAATTTCCTGTGTGTATACAGGATGCGCAATCTAACTTTGCGACCTCAAATATTTCTCTCATTTTAACATATACAAAAATTTCTAAATAAAATTTATAGTGTTTTGATAGGATATAAGTTGTAAAATATTAATTATGGAATCGTTGATATGAAGTTATCAAAATTAACTTCTGTTTTTTTTTTAAAACTGGAACCCCTTTTCATTAACCTGATTTGAGGCGACCTCATGCAACACTTTCACATTTGATGAACTGATACTGACATGTCACCATTCAACGTACGAGATACAAATGCATCAATACATATTTACAACGAAAATCGTAATGTTTAACAAAAGTAACAGTAATAACTATTCATACTGGCGTCTACACACTTTCGGACGAATTGAATTGAGGAGGTATTCACCAACAGCAAAGTTTGAAGTAATGGAGCAGCACATGCTACAAAAATGCACTGCTGAATTTCTTCTGCTCTGGTTGTGGTTTCTGATAAATCTTATCCTTTGTTCCCAAAAGAAAGAAAAATAATTGGGTTAAATCTGACAAACTTGGTGGGAACCACATAGGTCCACTGCATCCAATCAAGCATCACGGTTGTCCCGCACATTATGCACACATAGCAAGATAAATACTTCATAGACAATTTCCTGATCACTGAATTAGTTTATTCTTAGTGTACGAAACAAAGTTTGGCACAAGACCTGCATTGCTTCATCATATTTTTTGTAGTGGCAGAACATACCCTGAGACCATTGCTAAGCAACCCAGTCAGTACTGGTGGATGCTGAGAACCCCAAGAAGGATACATTGAACAATTTTTGTGATTTTTTTTATGTACTTAATGGTTTGCTGCTAATACATGTGTAACAACTCGCTTTCTTTAAAATTTCTCCTGTCTTTATCTCTGTAACTGTTCAACATTGGACTGAGGTATATTTGATTACTTCAATTCAAATTTACCCAAGAATCACTCCCTACAGGTGTGGCAGGAGCCTACTTTCCAGTATTCTCTCTGTATGTTGTACCACATACCTTGAATATCAGTTTTACTTTTTTAAATTTATAAGAATTTCCAAATTCTGCCCCAGCAACCTCTTTGTACTGGGCTCTGCATTCCCCATCTCCAGAAAATGACAACCTAAGCAAATGTCCATTACATGGATGTCCTTGAAACACAAAATGGTAACATCTTCATGAAATATAAAGTGCTTTTCTTTACTATACTCTACTTCTGAGCACTAAAATGTTCCATCCATGTTATTTATTCACTTTGAGCACTTCATTCCTGAATATTAGTGTGGACAGAACCATTTGTGCCCTGTAAAATTAAGTTCTTACACCTTGATATTGGCACATACATTAACCTCAAATTTACAATTTACAAACTGCAAATTTACAAGTTAAAAAATAATATTGGCTATAAGACATCTACCATGATTATCCAAATACCAAGTGACAGTTATTAAAATGCACTTCAGTCCTTTTGAGAAAAGAGAATATTATAATGCTGTAGTCTTCATTTATACCTGCTCCATTTTGGCACTTTTCCAGCAACAGGTAAATTGTTCTACTTATTTTAATGAATATGTATTACTATAATGTTGTAAAGTTTAACAATAACATGTCAACTTGATTTCTCAGCAATTGCTGATGTCATGATGTCAATTCCTCTTAGACATTGCAGCCTTACCTTTATGCATAACATTTTCATAATAAAAAAACACAATGTTTGGATAAATATAGTAAAGCAAATAAGAACAAAGATTCATATTAAGAGTCTCGTAAAAATATTCAAAACCAACATTACATTACATGGCTTGAAATATATCTTCAACAGACTTAATGTAATAAACTGCAATTAGATTTTATTTAATTCACAGGCTGCCAATCAGTTTTGAGTCTCGTTTAACTTAACACACCCTAAAATACCTAGGGGTTATTATTAACAAATTATTTCTTTAAATAATCTTCATATTAGACAATGAATTCAGTCAGTTTGAAACACTTCTTTACAAAAAATTGTTTACAATGTATTTTAAAAAACCATTTACTATAACACTTTTAAATTAAAATAGTAATAGTACAACTATTGTAGTTTTATACATTATGTGATTCTGCAGACCATCTGAAAGCAAGCTGCATATCTCATTGGTTCATGGATCACAGACTGGGAATGTCTTGTTTAGTACAGCAGTTAGAGAAGAAAAATAAGTTAGATAATGTTCTTGCATCTGGGACCTGTTGGTCTCATGATAAGGTTCTGTGTGCCGATTTTGTAGCCATATACTAAAGTTATCCACCTCCCTATCATGATTCAGAGTTCATATTAAATTGTAGGTCCCCTATGTTGACCATTTTCATCATTTGGAGTAATAGATCAATCCTATGGGTGTCATAACCTCAGATATGAATTATAAACTTACATAGGGTTAGCAGGGGCTGAATAGGTTATCATAATCCATCCAACCAAATAAGAAATCTTCATACTGACTGCTGTGAAAACCTCAAATCTTACAAATAACCGCTCCCTTGCGTCTACAAAATTGTTAGACAAATTTCCAAGGCCTGTTCTGACCTTCAGAATTACTGTGATGTTGGCTTTATTAAACATTAAATATTCCAGCACCACACCATTAACAGTCATGAAATTCCACCAGAATACCATATGGCCAAAAGCAAAGTCATCCCTGCACCTGCGTAGAGCATTAATACTGTAAAATGATGCAGACCTCTTAGTGTTGTTTAGCGCAGTGGGCCTATCGAATATTTAGAAGTATGTGGTATATCATATATTATAACAATAAAATAACATGTAAATGGCAACAAACCAAAATAGTAATTTATCATTTCAGTCAGATTTGTTGCAGTACTTGTTGAGGTACAGTCGACCATAAATTAAGACTTGAATTTGAAGGTGTATCATATACTTGCAGGACTAGTAGCAAACATCCCATGTAATTTGACAGCATACAGTAGCAAAATATGAAAAGGCATGCCATAATAAAAATGACAGGTACTTGTGTAATGTCCATTCCGTCATATTCAGCATCAGAGTTACAAAAGAATCGGTACAAGCTGAAGTTTATTTATATGCACCCACACTCACAAATATCTCTGAGGCTTAAATTACAATATTCTCCTCCTTGATTTCATCACTCTAGTAATATTTGGTAAAAACTACAAATTGTGAAACCGATCAATCTACAGTTTTCTCAAGCCTGCCGTTACTTCCACTCTCTTACGTTCAAATATTTTCCCAAGATACTTTCTTTCACCTGTCTTCATCCCTTACAAAGATCCATTCCCATATAAAACAAAATAGGGTATAGTATTTTATATTTTAATCTCTGTTTATAAAGAGTAGTCGTGAAGAAGAAGAGATTCGGAAATAAAACGTGACGGTATTCCTCATATTTAATCTGCTCATAATTTCCTTACATTTTGTTACTGCCATTCCTAAATATTTAATTATAAAAGCATTTATTACCTACATTACAAAATGGCAGAGCTATACATATTACCAGTAATAAATAACCCTTTTGTCCAGATCCTAACTTCACGTGATACATACAAATAAAACTGTTTTATTTGTCATTAATTAGACATCTTCTGAAATATGTCATCACTTTGTTATCAGATAATTATATTTCTAAGAAATTTTGAAACTGTCTACATTGATATTTTAAGCTTATTTTGAAAGCATAAAAATAATTTAACGAAGGCCCCTGCTCATTTACTAATACCATGCAATGTTTGGCACGTCATAAAATACTTTGATCGTTGAAATAAGTGGTGTTGTCATTTGCCACAGATGGAAGTTATGTCCCTGCTCTGTTCAACAACATTAAAAATAAGTTTCAGGTATACAATATGTCTGTTGTCTCCATATTGAAACACTTGCAATAATAAAAGTGCAGTCAAGAAATTATACCAATAGAGTAGATGTGTGTAACAAATGGTTGTATACAGAAAACTGGATACACTGCGCATTCAGTGTGGAAAAATTATATCAACAAAAAAAAAAACAGCATAACTCCAATCTATTTTGATTTTAAAAAATTAAGTCAGAATTTTATGTTCAGACACAAATTTATTTTAAGTTGGTTTTAGACAACGTGATCTAACGGTGCGGCAGGTTAATGGATTAATTAAGAGAGTTTCCTCTTTTATTCATCTATTTCCCCTTTGTACTCACTAACTTATTATTATACCAACTGCTACAAGATAATGCAAAGCTGTCTGCATGCGCCTTGATACAGCTTGCTCCCAAAATATCCAACAGGCTTAATTCACTGTTATTAAAGAGCGAATTTCTCAGTCCAATTCAGCGCATACATCAATAATTTCATTCCTCTGCTTGATTTAGTGGTACTATGGACAGTACATCCCAATAGGAAGATATGCCATGACCTCAAACAGATATTATGACCTCAGGAGATGGGTATATTTCTCCCTCACAGCATACAGAAATAACATTGCTATGCTACAGGATATGCTAGGTCATCAGGTATGACACTGTATCGTATAACAGGAGGTGTCGCCTTGCTTCCGTCATCACCACGAAGAGGCCAAGACTGTGGTGGACACGTGACGCATCGCCTCACAAATACTGCCATTCCAAATATTCCAAATATCGAAATTGACAGGGCAAAAAACATTAATGCTTTGATTCCATCTTGAGTCTGGTGATGCTGCAGAATTGGAATGCTGGTTTCTGAATGGTTCTTCATTTCTATCATGTGTAGCTCCTCTTCAATTGGACTAGCTCCAGAAGAATTTTCCTTGGGGTCTATAAGGCGAATAATGAATCTACCTCTTTCGCGCGGCCAATATTTTGTTACTTGCCTAGGGTTAGGCAGCAACCATGATTGGCCTCCCATTTGCAGATTGTAAAATGGGGCGTCAAACCCTCGGAACCATTTCAAAGCACTGCCTCGCCAGATATTTTCAACTGGTACAAAATAGCTACGGTCATTGTATCTGTCTAAGACCCAGATATCGAGCAGCTTGTCATACGCTACGAACAGCAATGTCCTGTTGTAGTCAGTATCAACTGTCTGTAGAATGGTCTTGGTCTCGTCCGTCCAAATGGCATCGCCACCTTCGTTTCCAAACAGAATATTAAGCTGCAACTGGCCAGAGGCTTGAAGAGTGGCGTTACTGGGATCAATTCTGTATACGAGACGAGTGGAAGTTGCAGTTGTTGTGCCATATGGTGGGCAAAGGATGTACACGGTACTGCCAGTTGATGTGTAACGAATATGTGATGAACATCCTGGCCACAGAGTGCCCTCTTCTATGTTTACCTAAATACAAATATATCTTTTAGTCCATGTGATTAATTACCAAAAATGTTTAAAAATGCTGACTTTTAGCAGCCTCTTATTGTCTAAGCTGGTAGCCCCATAGTACAGGGGTTTAAATTCAATATTCTCATATAATTTTTATATTTTAATCCATACAGCTGCTAATATATCAGCATTATAGGACGTAACATTCGACTCCTTTCACTGCAAATTAAATTAATAAACTTACAAGATTTATTCTAACTAAAGTTGTGTGTGTGTGATCATGTCTATTAATTAATGAATCATGTAAAATATTGAAACCCCCCCCCCACATTGAATAGTCACAAAAAGATGTCTTTCATTATGCAGAAGATTGTTCTGACATTTTTAATGGAAAAATTAACTGAATTCTTATGTGCAGTGATAATGTATTTAATTAATATCAAAATTCTTAAAATTATATGATTACCAGCCAACACATTTGTGACAGTAATCGACCCAAAATAAATGAAGAGGGGTATAAATCATATTATTGATGTTTACCTTTTGCTGTGTCCAATGCGATGTTCTGAGATCGAACTGCCACAGTTTTAGAGGAATCACTTTTAGGTCAAGTGCCACCAGCAGCTCCTTGTTGGTGTCACACCACGCCACAGGATGTCCTCTGGGTCCCTCATTAGAATTATCACCAACATCAAAATCAGGACAAAATGCATGATTTAAAAATGAATCATTTGACATAACCTCTAAGTTTGGTTTCTGTTTGCGTGATTCCTTATTTGGTACGACATCCCTCTGGTTTATTCTATGCGTTGCTCTGTTACCTAAAGTATGAACAGTTTCATCTTCATTGCGATCCTCACCGAGATCACTGAAATTGGTTCTACTAGAAACGTTGTTCACCGGAACACCAACATTTTCATGCTCCAAATCTGACAGGCATTGTTTACCTATACCTAGTCCTTCGTTCTGAACAGAAGAATCATTATTTAACCTTCTCCCAACTGAGGCATTAAATAAGCGATTATTGTCTTTAACTAATTTCTCTGTAATTGGCGATTGTGTTGGAAGAATGCCCCTGCTGTCAACTTCCTCATAAATTTCTTGATTATTGACTACAGTACTCGATTCTCTGCATTCCAATATTAACGAGTCTTCTAAAATTCTACTTTGATTATCATCTTCATCTTTTGATTTCTTTCTATTCTTTTCAGTATTGTCAGTGGTACTGTAGTTGTTGATCTCTTCTTTAATGTTCTGATTCATTTTCGTGTCATTACAACCATCATCAGTAATCTGAATGGCGGAAAAGTTTCTTGTAACATTGCTTTCGTGTCTGACTGTTCCAGTTGGCACTGCACTATTGTTTCTGGCACTCTGTCCTGTTGGTCTCCCTGTATTGTCACAGCAACACACGTAAGCTGTCCACTGTCTGTCCTTCAGTTCCAGCTGCCATACTGTGTCGCTGCGGGAACTCCTTGGACCGTACACTGCCAACGACCTCTCATCTAATCCTTTGCCTTCACTGCGACCACAAAGAACTACACCTGGATTGTTACTTGAGGTTCCTCTACCTTTCTGAGTGTACCCATCATTGAACAGATTTGTTCTCAGAAGAATCATTCCACCAGAATTTCCCTTTAGCTTGTCATTAGGGAAAATTCGATTCCAAATCCGAGCACTGGTGTCATAACGCCAGAGATCAGTGTACATTTTCAGTTTTGTAGTGTTTTTGGTGCTGCTTGATGGTGACTGGTGACCACCAAACAGCCACCAACTGCTGGCAGAACTATCAAACCACAAAGATGATCCCATACGGGGTCCTGGCCCACGAGTCACGTTTTTAATGTCTGACATCAGCTGTTGCGGCCATTGTTCCCACTGCCATTCTGAAAGAAAAGAAAATAATTAATCAGCTTCCACTTCATATGACATCAGATTTAAAACATCCGTTTCCTTGTTGCGCAACTGGTGTGCTGCCACAACATTTGAGGTGTGCCACAAACGTTTATTAAAAAATTGACAGTGGAATCACGGTTCCCTAGTTAACGTATAATAACGTTTAACAGTAGAAGTATATTTGTACTGAAATACAATTTTATTTAAACATTAATGTATACCTTTACATCTTATCTATACGTGACGTCATCCGCCGACAGCTTAACTATGTGTTGTGTCATGTACTCAACACACTCACACTCTAGAACCGTTCTTTGTTACCAAATAAATGGCCAGAACTCCTAAACCGTAAGAGTTAGCTGAAATCTGTTTGCAAATTTGAAAAGCTCGTGTTTATTTACGTATTTCATCCGCAATATGTCCTGATCTAACTCTTACGCTTTAGACGTGGCAAGCGGTTGAAGTTAAGGAACGAGGGTTAGTTATCACATGTTTTGGGTAATTTTTTCAACAATGTGTAAAATATGCATTATAGAATACAGTAAACATCGTGTAGAAAAAGCCCTTTATATACTCTTTAATTTACATATAGATTTATATTCTCTATCTTACATAGGTCTCGAGTTATTGGCGTTTGAAGAAGTTACACACCAGCGTTACCTTACGTCTTACAGTTTCCGTCGAGTGTACCGTTATTTCATAAACGTTATTCAACGTTAAAAAATTGTATATTTGTGTGTTATAGTTACAAGTCAATGTCTTAACTTTCATAATAAGAATTCCGGAAAGCTGCTGTGTTTTATCGGGCGCCTGGACACTCTGGCCTGCCTAGCAACGAGGCCGCCGATGCGACAGTTAACCTTGGCCAGAAATCTGGTCTCTCACAGATCTCTCGGCAGTGATGCACGCACCTTCCTACATCGCGCTGTTCTGTCCTGGTGGCAAGACGAATGCGAAGACCTTCAGAAAAACAAATTGCGAGTGGTGAAGCCATCTGTACAAGAGCGGCCTCCGTACAACCTGGCAAATTTAAAATTAAGCTCAAGTTTTAACGGAGCCCCGTTACATTTTATGTACATTGCCGTTTGAATTCAAAGTCCACGGGCAGGCCTCCAAATACGGGGTGCGATCGGAAAGTTTCAAGACTGCGCCTATTATTTAAAAACAACCGTACACTTATCTCAGGTATTAAATTCATCCATCACCCTCGAAGTAGTTCCCCTGGGAGTGAACACAACGATCCCAGCGCCGCTGCCAAGCCTGGAAGCATCCCTGGAAATCTTTCTTTGTCAGCCTGTCAAGCACCATCTGCGATTCTGCCTGAATCTCTTCTATCGTCTCAAATCTCCTTCCCTTTAGCTGAATTTTCATCTTTGGGAAGAGGAAGAAGTCACACGGAGCTTAGAAAGGAAGTTGGGGTCGGTTCTTGCAAGATCTTTGAGCTCCTGACAAACGAGAAGTCGATTCTGCTTCTGGTCCTCAGACAGGATGCGTCGCATGTGGAGTTCTTCCTTTAGAATCAGCTGACAGGTCCCAACAATGTCGCACAAGTCGTTATGGTACGACGTCGATCTTCGTGAATGGCCTGCCGAATCTTGGTAACATTTTCGGGCGTTGTGCTCGAAGATGGTCGTCCAGAACGCTCGTCATCATCGACAGGGGTTCGGCCATTTTTAAAACGTGAATGCCACACAAAAGTTTGCGGACTCCCCAAATGTTTGCTTTAGCATTTCATAGGTTTCCGTAGCGGTTTTGGCGAGTCTTTGGCAAAATTTGATTTGTTCATGAAAATCCGCCATTCCGAAATCGCAGGAGGGTCGGTGTAATGCACTACCAAAACGCCCGTAACTAAGAAACAAATGCTAATTCGATGATGCCGGCTGGCACACTGATTCACTATGAATGTAGGCCGCACCCCCTAGCGGCAGAAGCTCGTACTACATCCGGTTCGCCCTCTGTTGACACAGTCTTGAAACTTTCCGATCGCACCTCGTATATCCTCGCCTGTGGCTCTTATTACGGGCCTATTATTATTATTCAAAGTCACTCGCTTTTCAGCGTATGTATACTGCCAGGTCCCTCAACAGTCGGGCAATTTTAATGTTAATCTAACACTCACGCTTCGGAAACAAGGTCGTTTTGATCCAAAGTCCACTGCCAAGGCCTTCGTGCAGCCTTGCTGTCATTTCCTGATTGTCATTTAGCTGTAATCGTAGTTTGGTGTCCTGCTTCGTGCACATGCGCATTCAAGTCAGCCAACCATAGGGTTTCTGTGACGTCATCGACGCTTATTCGCCTCCGAGTGTACAAGGCAATGCTATTAATATGATACGAAGTTGGATCTTACAAAACTAGTTGCGGATGTGAACTGTGTTGAACTTGCTCAGGATCTGGTCCACAGGCCTGATTCTGCGAAGATGATTATCATCCTTGAAGCACGAAATAACACATTTGACAGCGAGCATTGTACTAAGAAGTTCGCCTTCTTATACTGTCCGATTTTGTGGACATTATTACAGAACGGCCATGTTTAAAATTGTGTCAATACGAGCATTGTTATCAGTCACTGATCAGCGGATTTATAATGGTTTCTACGCTAAACATAAAGTTTTCTGTGAATTCAAGCATCATGTAGCGAAGGTAAATAAATCTTTGAGCGTGAGTGTCACGTTCCAGTCGCTTCGCCCTCGAGAAAACGCCCGGAACCCACGACCCTTTGAGTAGGAGGATGACTGGGCATCAGAGGCGGCCCTGACACGGTGGCTAAGAGAAATTCGCTTTCTCTGCAGGGAATCGAATTCCGGTTGTCCAAAGATGTCTTACGTTACATCCAAGATGGCTTACCGAACCCGAAGGTTCATCACCGAATTAACCAAAGCACTCCACCGGACCCTGTCCTGGGCCAACAAAATCCAGTCTCCTTCAACTCCTATCTCCCATAGACCCCGCCTGACATTATCCTCCCATCTATGTCTAGGTCTCCCCAGCGGTCTCTTTCCTTCAGGCTTCCTGACCAATACCGCGTGAACACCTCTTGTCCCATCCATGCGCGCTACATGCCCAGCCCATCTCATTCTTCTCGACTTAATTACCCTTCAACGTTCGCATGGAAGGAATTACCTCCATCTGCAGGAATTCTTCGCCGTCTAAAATCTTCTGATCGGAATTTTCTTGTTTACGATTGAGAGGGTTTGCGATGGTTAACGACTTGCATGACGCTCATTGGCGTCAGTCAGTTGCATCGTCGTCATGGCGACGGGATGGGCGAAGAACATCTTGCTTGTTGTTATGGCAACCTGATCGATGCGGCAGGCAGCGAGAGCAAATCGACCCTTTGTGCTGAGCTGGTCTCTTGGAAACACGAGTGTCACGTGGCAAACCGATCACACCCATTGGCCGTAAAGGGACCCGACCGATCAAGCAAGTCAGCGCCCGCCTGTGTCCTCTCAGGATTGGAATAAACTCACATTCGTTCAGAGTTTCGGAAGAAGACATATTTACCCTGAAAGACTGTTTAGAACGACATCTTGCTGAATAAGTGGGAACTAACAAATGCTGTTAGAAATTCTTTCGAAAGGAACGTCGTGTTGCGATTCAACTTTAAAGAACATGTAAAGATGTCTTCATTTCCTAACAATGCGTAGACTATAATGAACAAGAGAATTTGTTACGTACGGACGTTCTGAACTACCTTTTTTTAGACTCAATCCAAAATCCAGATGGCCTCGACAGCTGCAAAAGGGAGCCACATTATCGGGAAGTCATGGGTCTGGTTCTTGAGAAAACAACAACAAAACTGAGTGAATGGGCCGAGTTTGATTCTTGAGAAAGGTCCAGGAACGTATTGTTAATCGGGATATGGTGTAGGTAAACTTCTTCGCCGTAAAAAGGTTCGTAAGCCGAAAAGTTATTTAGTTATTTGTTACATCAACAGAGTGCGCCCAACATGCCTAAGCCTGTTTAGCTGCTTCATACGTCTGCTTTCGAAGATAAATGCCCAACAATGAACTCACGCTGCATTGTTGCAAAAGGCGTGATGCTTAAAACAGACAATTGACTGTAGAACAACAATCGATTTTTTTATCACACTAATTAAGAGCTTCGAGTTGTGAGACTTTTGGGACACCCGTGTAATTAAAGGAACCTTCATTGTAAGTGCCCTACGGTCTACAGACTCCTGACTGCATCAGAATAAAACGCTTTCAGTAGGCTTTGCCCCATTCATGAACATCTTCTTCCTATGACACCGAAAGTCGTGATTCAGCACATCGTATCCGGGAGGTCCCGGGTTCATATCACGGCCCTGAAACCGGCTATTCTGACTGGGGTTTTTCGAGGTCTTTCTCAGCCCCTCGAGGCAAATGCCGGGATAGCGTCTTAAATTAGGCCACGACCGCTTCCTTCCACATCCTTTCCAATTCATTATTCACTTTCATCCTCTCATTCGACGTTGTATAGTCTGAGCTACTGAAAAAAGTGTCGTTAAATACAGAATAAATATCTTAGCGTGATTGACGCTCATTTCAAATGAACTTTCACGAATTCTTATTCCTCTCTGGCCTTCTCTCTCTCTCTCTCTCTCTCTCTCTTCGCTGATCGATCTGTCCGAAGCCTCGGTCGCAGCGAAGAGTGAGACAGGAAGATTATCATCGATGGTAAAGAAGTTAATGACGTGGAAGGACGCGCCTGTGACCTATTTCAAGGCACTGTTGAGGCGACGTTAAAAATACCCCCATTCTCCTTACACACGAAGACGTAGCAAGGCTCAGTAATGAAAGTTGTTTTGATGATGCCTGCTTCTCCACTCATGCGGACAACGACCACTCAAATCGCCATCCTTTCCGTAAATTCTTGGCGTAGAATCGTAAACTCAAAGACACGAAGGCCTAGATAAATAAATTAATACGTCTCCAGTCTAGAGACCAGTGACACCCCCCCCCCAA